GGGCGGGGCGCGCGCACCGGCGACCCCGCGGCGGCTTCCCGGACCCCGCTGGCTCCGCGAAGCAAGGGGCGCGGTGCCCAGTGGCGCGGGGTGGGGCAGACGGGTGCAGGGGACCTTGTGGGTAGAGGGTTCAGTGCCAGGAGGTGGAAGGGGGCGCGGAAGGTGTCTGGCAGAATTAGGGGCGCTCCCGGTGCCCCGGGAGGCGTGGGGTGGGCGGGGGCGCGGTGCCCCTCGGGCTCGCCCTCTTCCTTCCCAGTGGGAACAACTTCCTGCTTTCCGATTCAGGTCGCAGAAGCTGCGGGAAGAAGTTCAAGGCCGACGCTTTGCTCCCTCAGCCCGACGGCGGCGACACTGCTGGCTGCAGGCCACACTGCGCTTTCCTGGGCCCCTCCGGGGAGAGCGAACGGCTGGGCTCCAGGGCCCGGGCCGGTTAAAATGAATGCCAAGCAGACTGCAGCGCCTTTCCTAGCCACAGGCAGGGGCGCCCAGGCGGTTTCCAACCACAGGGCGACTGGCCTGGGCCTCCGAGGACACAGGGTGGCTGCGCTCCGAGCCCTCCCCCTGCCCGGGCATGCTCTGGCGGGGTGCCACATGGACCTCGCCATTTCTGGCCCGTGAACCGCCAGGACCCTGGAGAAACAAGGCCTCCGGTCTGTCCCACCGTCTCTCTGCCCACACCCCCCCGGCCTTGGCATTCTAACCAGCGTCCCTTGACGTCACATCTCGCCATTTCTATCAACCAATTGAAACTTGCCCGTTGTCATAAAAATATATATTTTTACGCCATTGGTAAATTCAAAAGTTCCTCGTGGGCCCTGCTTCCCAGGAAACTTCGGCCCACATTTGATTCAACTGCCCAGGAGGGGGCAACTGGGCACACTGGGTAAGGCTGGCCTGGGCTGCTTTGCCAAGGCCTGGGCTGCCCGCTGACCCCCCTCCCACACTTTGTGGACCCATCAACCTTGGCCTGGAAGAGCGCCGGACACTGCACACCGACATCACTGCCACCAGCCCACGACATACCGAGTTTGGGATGAGGGAAGGAAAATCCAGGAAAGGCTAAAAACCTTCCCGAATTGCTTTCCTGGGAACTGGGGCGTGGGCTAGGTGCTTCTTCCTAAAGACCCCATCTTGTTTCTTTTCTTTTCCTGTCAGAAGCCTCAGGTTTGGAAAATGAAATAGAAGTGATTTCCAGTTAATCTTTTCACTGGAATCGGGACCAACTTTCACTTTCCATAGCTGCCAAAGGCGGCCCAGAGTCACCCAAGCAGGGAGATTTCCCAAGGGAGGGGGCCTGGCCCTGTTTCCCAGGAAGGTACAGTGTAGTCCCGGCTTCCAGGGCTGGGGGGCCTTTTGTGGAACAGACTCGGGCAGCCTCAGCTTGGGGACACCGCGCCTCCTCCAGTGACACGGCCCGGGAGACTGTGTCGTCTAGCATGGTCCTATAGAGTTTTCTTCACTATCAAAGTTCCCCGCCCCAACTAGGAAAGTGGGGGAAACTTCCTACAGGGTCCGTGCCAGGCAGTCCCCAAAAGCCGCACACATGCCTCTGTCACCCCCTTCGTCCCCAGCCACACCAAGGGTGAACCCAGCCACTGACTGCTGTCCTCAGCTCCTGCTGCCCCATCCTTAGGACAGCCTAGCTGTACAGCTTAGCTCCTTCCAGAAACACAGCAGAGACATTTTGTGGTTCAGCAAGTTTAAGGACTCCAGAAGAACAAATCTGCAGGAACTGGGCTGACTGAAGAGATCACAACATTCTAAGCATCAGGCCCTTTTAATACTGAATCTTGTTTTTCCAAAATAATGAGCAAGCTCAGTAATGACCAAACAGGGATTCCAAACATAAATATATGGTAACTATTCACACAGAAAACTGCTCTCTAGCGCAAAGTCAAAAAAATGCTGCATACCTTTGAGATATGTTCATGAAGCAAAAAAAAAGACTGTATCCAACAACCACACTCTAATCTATTTATAATCACTTTCCTAAACACTATAAATATTATAACTAATGTGATATATGTTTTGTGATTAAATGGGCAGATTACAACATTGAGATTTTTTCAAAGCCACAAAGAAAAAGAGATAATCTTCCCTTATGCCACTTACAACTTTTGTTCATTGGCACAAATACAAATTTAACAACGGTATCATTATTGAATGCGGCGAAAAATGCCAGGATATTAGCTTTGTAATTTTCACCTGAAATCATTGTATAATCACACCGACTTGCTAACTTTCTTTTTATTACCTGATCCTTTTTCTTACCCTCACACAGTAATAATTTAATGCCTTTCCCCCCCTTCCAATTTTTATCTGGTAACACAGAAATGCAGTGAAGTCAGAACAATATTTAAGAACACACACTTCTTCCAACTCTCCGTCCTTGGCAAGGGTTTACATATAATTTGGTTGGAAATTCAGAAATCAAATTCTATTTAATACAAGGAAAATAATAGCACTCAGGTAATTAATTGCCCTGCATAGTACCCAGGTTGGATACTTTTGTTTTTGTCTACTTGCTATCAGACTATATCATTCAAAGTAAATAAAAATTTGAGAATGTGCCCAAATGACCAGAAAGGGAACCTGGGAGAGATTTACACCCTTGATGAGCAAGTTCTGGACAAGTTTCCTACAAGAAAAACTTGGCCTGTCTCTCTGGGCCACAACGACGCCTGAGGTCAGCTGCTTAAAAATCAGTCCTAGGGCAGGCTGTCGCTGCACCAGGATGTTTATAGTATTGGTCTTATACGCTTATTTTTTCCTCATTTCTCCCAAGATGTGCCTAATGGGAATGCGGCCGGCAACTTCCTGCCATGTCCTGAGCCTGGACTCTCACCACCGAGCCCCTGGCTTGCAGTTCAGCCCCCGAAGGCAGTGGGGAGTTCACTTTCGATTCCCTTCTTTGCATGGAGCGGCATTTAACAGTGTTAAACTTTCAGGATCCAAGACATTCCGAGGACTCACTAAACAGATGCATTTAATCTAGTTCATGCGAGCAGGATGAGCCCGGGCAAAAAGTCACATTTTCACTTGGGTTCTGGATGTTTAGCTTGCACCGAGAACAGGGGTGCTTTTAAAGCTGGTCCCATAAACATGGGATTGAAGTTCGCGGCCGCTCAAGGGAGATGCCACTCAGATTATTCCTGACAATGCATCCTTCAGAGGGGCTGCTCAGAAGCTTTGGCTATTCTGTCAAAAGGCAAACCAGGCATATTGTCTTTTCTTTCTTTTTCTTTTTTCTTTCGCCTTTGTCTCAAAGTGTTTACAGGGTTGAGTCCATTTTAATATGTCTGTGTCATGATAACTTGATGAAGCCTCTGTTTTTACTCTCAATTATTAGTGCAAAACCCATCATCCTCCATCTCCTTTGATGGATTTTTTTCTTAAGGAGGAAGTTGAGAAAAGAAAGAAAGCACACTCATTTCCAGAGAAGAAAACAGTGAAAGATGATTTAGAGGTGATAGGGTCTCAGGCAGGGTAAGGAAATAGAACAAGCATCTCCATTTTCCTTCCAGGCATAATGAAGCTCTTTTCAGAATCTTTTGCTTTAGTTCCCCCAGTTTTATGTGGAACTTGGCGTTCGTTTACTTCCAACAGTAATGACAATCTGTCTGTAGGACAAGCACGTCCGAGGACAAAAGCAAGCATGGGGCACTGCATTAGCACACCCCCTACCCCATCAAAAGCAGCACGCTGACACATTTCAGTGTCTTCTTCTCCTCATTTAAAAAAATAATACAAAGAACATACTTAAGCGTGTGTGCAGATGACAGCAAAGCCCGGTGTGCCCTCATTCTCGGGATGCGGGCTGCCAGCTCCCCTCCATGCGAGCTGGTCTGGTTAGTCTCCTTGCGCTCCGGCTCTGCCACCTCGCACACTTGGGAAGTTCACACACTCACTTTTGATGGTGTGTTACCCAGGTGCCTGTATCCAAAAGAACTCTAGCAGCTCTGAAGGCATTCTGAAGGGGTTTATTATTATTTCTCAAATAAAAGGACAGCATCAAACACCCAGGAAGCTAAGGTAAATATTCATTCAATCATATGGAAATAAAGGACTCTATTGCATTTCATACATATATACTAGCACGAAAATTTCCCCGTAACACAGATGAGGAATTACAATTAATATTTTCCATTCCAAACCAGTAACAGCACAAACCAGAAAATACAAATTAAGGATGATGGGGTGATATCTCTGGTTATCCAAGGAGATATCAAATGCCAAAACTAGATGCTTGGCTTTATAAAGATGATTAGAAAGGCACAGTGCAAGTTAAATTTTTAAAGAACAAAAATTAAAGAAAAGTGAGTGTGGAATTAATTTTAGTCGTTCAACTCTACAATTTTAAAAATGAAATCATCATAAATCGGGAAACTAACATTTTGCTAAAGAAATGATTGTGTGACTTACAGCATTTTATTAGCACTTTAAGATGTAAGAGAGTTTGGAGTGCGACAGTTTCTGGTAAGAAAATGAAAGTATCTCAGAAAATTTGGAAAGAATTTCACTCCCTAGCAACCCAAGGTCTGCCTTCCTTTCACAACTGAAAAGTTTCAGTTTATCTGAAGTATTTTTACATCTTTTCCACTCTTGTGGTTTTTGTAGCTACCCCTTCTGGATTACATATTCTTTTTGACTCACATCTAAGGAGAATTTCACTGTGTCATCGTAAACTTGAAAAACTGTCAAGTGTTTAGGTTTATGATCCAAATTTTTAGGTAATGCCGAAGTGCTAATGAAAGTCAGCGGAATTTTTTTCTTCCTCACAGCTGAGATGAGAACTTGTATTTCCTAGACAGATAGTTGTTCAAGGGGCTATTTAAGTTAGAAGCCCTCTAGAATAAAGGAAACAGACAGAGTGGGGGAACTGATTTAGAACTCAAATGGCTCATTGTTAAATTGCAGGGAACTGCAGGAACTTTTTAAAAAATCAAAATCAAGACTTCACTGCTTACTTCTTTAAAAGGATTGCAATAGCCGTAACTGCTTGCAAAACAAACGGGCTAAAAGTGGCATTTGGGGAGGGGGTGTCAATTGCAAGTTGCTTGAAATTTAGCCACATTGGTCTTATTTACTGAAATATTCATTTTATTTTTAAAAATTAAATGTGACTTCACACAACACAGATGAGCAATTTGCTATACAAGTTGGACAGTTTCATTTTGTTGACTATGTCTAAGAGTATCCCAGCTTTTAGATATGGTTAACTTCAAGGTTAAGGTCTTATTTTTTTTTTTTTTATATCAGCTCTTTCTAACAAAGTGAAAACAAATGTTTTAACTAAATGTATCGCCACAAGAAAAGATAATATTTAATTGCCCCAAGAGAAAGAAACAAAAGAAGAAGAAAACTGATGCTTTCGTTTTGTCTCTGGCTGTTTATAGAGCAATTTTTGGGGTGATTCCTAATTTCAAAGGAACAATATCATTCTCTTTAACCAAAAGCAAGAGGTAATATAAGCCATCAGGCAAGAAGAGAAACTAACCTTGGAAATAAAAGTCTATACAATTTTTACGTGATGAATGCATTTAAAAAATATTACAGGATAACAAGGGATCTGGACAGGCATTTTTCCCTCCTGTGCTTGGATGATATGCAGAGGCATGAGTTTTAGTTCTCACCAAGACTCTGCACTTAGATAATACTTTACCCATTAACCAGTTTCTTGATTTGCTAACGATCTGCCTTCCAAGCTCACTGCCCGATTCACTCAGACCCAGGTATTGCTGGCTCCTGCCCTCCCTCCCGAAACTCCTCCGAAATTGGAAGTCTCTCAGACAGAGAGCCCTGGAAATTTATAGCAGGACTCCAAGGCTCCCTGGGAAACTTCTCAAGTTGGGAAAAAGCTTGTCAACGCACACCTGGATCTACAGATTCGGAAAAATGAACCGGCTGTAGCCAAAAAGCAAAACACTCAACCACCCGAACACAGTCTGCAAGAAACACAGAGTTCTTTGACGTGACAAGAAGAATTATAAATAAAATAGCTCCGAGGCAGACAGGCTGAATGAGCCTTTTAAGACAGCCTGCTGGTGCTTCCAACTTTAATACTTAGAACATGAAACGCCAGGTCCACGAGAGTAATATCTGGGCTATGCGTGTGCTCGGGTGTGCTACGTGTTATGTGCGCGTGCGTGCATGTGTGGCAACGAAAGCTCCGCTGCCCTTGTGTGTTGGGGGCCAAGCTGAAGTCCCGCCGAGGGGCCCTTGCCCAGGTGAAGGGCTGGCCCTACCTGCTTGTTTGCTGGCGTCAGCCTTTCTCCATACACGTGGACTGACACTGAAAACCACGGACAACGTGACCTGCTGCAGACACCAAGCACAGAGCTCAGGGACTTCCCTGCAATACAAAATGTTTGGTGAACGGGACTGAGGCGGAGGCAGAGGTCTGATGTCTCAGAGCAGGAGCCCCAGGGTGTGGACATGGCTGGCGCTGTGGCCTCAAGGGTGCCTCCCCGTGCCAAGCTGGGCAGGGCAATGCTGGACCACAGTCACGACCAGACCAGGACTGGGACCGACATTCAGGGCGCTCGGGGGTGTAGCCCAGAGCAGTCTCCACGCCATCTGCTCCAGTCCCCCAAACTGAGGCTGTCTTGTCATGTTCAAGGCCCGGAAGAGGTTGGGAGTGATCTTTAAGTTGCTCCAGGCTCCCCCCATGTGCTGGGCCTGCCCCCTAAGTACGGAGGGCTGTGATGTAGTTTAAGTTAACCACGATGTGCTGATCATGCAATCAGTGACTGGCACCACGCAGATCACTGAGCATTTTAATCACGGCAACATCCCTAGCAGCTCAGAATTCCTCCTAAGATGAGAATGATAGCGCCTCGTGCATGTACAGCTAGCACATGGTAATGTACACAGCAGGGCCTCACCCGTTTCATGTGATCCAACCCTGCAAGGGAGGCCACATGAGAACTGTCACACTTCTCCCAAGACTGGGGAAACTGAGGCTTAGGCAAGTGGAACAGTGAGCTGATCTGATATCGCACAGACCCGGGACCCCAACCACTCACGCACATACGCACTGTGTTACTTTCGCTATTTTTTTTTTTTTATAAGGAAAACATCACCATCCACCCCTTCATACTCCTCCACACATAGGCTTATTTTATAGGTCAGAGCAATTTCCAGGAAAAACAGAGCCGCTTTGAAATCTTGGCCCCAGCACTGCCTGAAGTGGGTCCAGCTCTGGAAACACCCCTCCCCAAACTCTGCAGCTGGCTTTGGTCCTCTGAGGCATCCACCCACCCCGCCAGGTGCACCCTGCCCAACCCCTCCATGCGGCACCAGGGCATAGACCCAGGGCAGAAAGTCGCAGGCACAGAGCCCTGCTGCGCCTGCCAGAGTCCTCGTAGCAAGGCCATCTTCCCCAAGCTGAGTGATCCATAAGACCTCCCATCCCCTGCCCTAATCTGCTGGGTGTGGGCAGCCTGCAACTGCAGCCTCCTTGGCCACACTGCCAGCATGGTTCCAAGCCCCCCTGGAAGCCTGGTCTTGCTCGGCACCCTCTGTGAGCCTAGAAGACACCTGCCTGTGATCTCAGCAGAAAAGGCCGAACAGGCATTAGAACGGCTGGGAGAATCTCAGTGGTCTAGTCAGCTCCCTGTTTTAAGGTGCCCAGGGCTCCCAGCCTGTGCCTCAGTTTCGCACAAAGGCAAACTTATGCTGATCAGGTGGAAAAACTGCTCCCCAGAAAAAAGAAAGGCTAGGTATGTGGGCCATGGCCGGAACAGAATTGAGGAAGGATCAGAGCGGTGGGTTGTATGGCAGGCTGCCCTACAGAAGGCAGGAATAGCAAGGCCCCTGTCCGATGGGCACTCATCCCCCCCCCCCAGAAAAGGTACCATGGCACCTGCCTCTGCTCCTAATACAAACCAGGAGCCCTCCCCACGCCACCTTTGCAAAGCAGGGCATGCTCAGCAGCTCCAAAACACCAGCCTCCCCGAATCCAAGTTCCATCCCCCGAGCACCAGGCTCAGAAACAAACTGGGCATTCTCAGGTCTCCTTGGCAAAGCCACTTGACAGCTAAAGCGGGTCAACAAATGATGAAATAACTAAAAACCAGGCCATAGGGCCTTGCCCAGCAGGGCGATGCTGGGGCCACTGGGTCTTCAAAGGCAAAGGAATCTGGGGGTCTTTTGCTTGTTTCCTTTTTGGACCTAATTACAAGAAAAAGTGTCTTCTAAAGCTGTTTAAAAAATCACAAGGATCTGAGTCTCAAAAGCTTCTTGGGATAAACATTATAACTTTCTTTAACTCTTTTCTTTTTGTTTGTTTGTTGGTTTCTTTCTTTCTTTCTTTCTTTCTTTCTTTCTTTCTTTCTTTCTTTCTTTCTTTCTTTGGAGAGGGCCTGGGAGCTGAATTCAGAGCCTCCGCACTAAGCTACATCTCCAGCCTTGTTTAATTACTTTGAGACAAGGTCTCTTCAAGTTAAGTTGCCCAAGCTGGTAAACTTTGTCCAACATTTGAGGAAAAACAACCCAGGATAGACAGGGTCACAGCGCGAACTTAACGCCTGCTGCGTTCACAGCTTCGGCATCCCGATGCCACTGGAAGTGACCTCAAGTACCAGCAGGGCTGGGATGCGAGGGAAGGAAGCGCGCCGGGCAGACAGCTGCCTGCAGAAAGAGCGTTTGACCGGATTCCCAGCAGGAATAAAGGGCAGAAAAAGAAAACCAAGAGCAAACACCCTCCCTTCCATCGAGAGGGCTGCGCGCAGCGGGCCGGGACAGCAGTGGCGCTCCCGCCCCTCACCACGTTGGGCGCTCAGGGCCCGGGGAGCCCGGCTGGGGCGCAGGGCGGGTCAGGGTCGGTGCGTGGGGCGCGTCCGAGTGGCCCCGGGAGTCCCAGGAGCGCCCGCGCGCAGGAATCCGGGCGAGGCCAGGTCGGGTTGAGCTGGGGTCCGCGGCGCCGGGGCTGAGCCTGGAGTCTGCGACCAGGGTTCCGCTGTATGGGCCGGGCCTGAAGGCGCGTCTGGGGTCCCGCCCGTGATTCCGATCGGGGTCCGGGTCCGCGTCGCTGTCAGGATCCGGATCCGGATTCGGTTTCGCGTGGACTTCAGGGCCCCAGGCCCAGGTTTGCTTCCAGGATCCAGGTCCAGAAGAGGGGTCCGGGTCCGCGAGGACAGAGCGCTCCGTCTGCGCCCAAGGTCCAGGTCCGAATCTGGGGTCCGGGTCCGGGTCGGAGTTTGGGTCCGTGGAGACGCCAGGGCCCCAGGCCCCGCCTGCGCCCAAGTTCAGGTCCGGCTGCGGCTCGCGTGGACGCGGCGCCCAGCCCGCCTCGCCCGGT